TTGGTATAAAAATAACTCAGAGGCCCTTTAGATATTGAAAATTCATTCTTTTTTCCAAGAGTAAAATTGATTGCATTTCTTTGCCATATAGCTTCTATCTATAACGATAATAAATCTTAGTCTTGTGTTAGTTATAGATGGCGTGTTGTCCTACAGAGTGCCACTGATTCTTTTTATGTCACCGAACCTGTTTATATGCTCAGTTAATTCTCAGCTCCATGTTTTTCATACTTTAAGAAACCTATCCAGATTTCTTGAGTTCTTTTTTAAAAAAAATTGTCGTATACTGGTGTTATCAGCATTAAAAGAAACAGATTAATTCTAATGAGGATTTAAGCAGTCCCTAACTATGGCATGTTTGTTACTGTGGGAGAGATATATAAAGTCATACTGAAACCATATTGTTTTTTTAAGTCCAGACTCTAAGTTTGTATTTCAGCTGTATTGTAAACTGTTGGATGGAGTATATAATGCTTCTCTGTAGTGCTGGTCGTAATGTCTATTCTGTACGTGACACATCCCCTAGATATACAGAGTTTGTTTTCAGAATGAACTGTTGGGTACTTTGAGAATGAGCACTAGCTCTAGTCAATAGTAGGGATACCCAGATGATGCGAGCCGAGTGCTGTTCCCTTGGAAACATATTTTCCACAACCCCCGACTTTATAACCACATGGTTACAGTATGTTCCGTAGTTTGCTGTAACTTAGATCACCTTAAGATTCACAAGCACCTAATGAGAGAAAGTTGTGACTCAGCAGTCTTCCAAGTATTGCCTTAAAAATACTTCATTTTTCTTATGGAAAACGTAGGTTTCCTTTTTACTCTAGGAAATACTCAGGAAAAGCTATTTTGAGAGTGGGTTTGAGTATATTTTATTGTTGCCCTTGTTACCATTAGCTTTTTAATACATACTTTTTTTGTAGGCTGAAGTCTTTTTCTCATAGGGCAAACATAGTAATGAAATGCTATGCCCATACTTTGAAAGGGGGATTGTTACTGTTACCAGGTGTGACTGAGTTGGTTCCTACTCATAGCAATCCCGTGTACAGAAAACGAGACGTTGCCCTCTTCTACGCTCTCCTCACCATTGTTTATGCTATAGTCCATCATTGTAGCCATTCTATCAGTCCATCTTGTTTAGGATCTTCGTCTTCCTCTTTTTGCTGCCCCTCTACTTTACCAAGCATGATGTCCTTCTCCAGGGACTGGTCTAAACTGAAACATGTCCAAAGTATGTGAGATGATGCCTTGCCAACCTTGCTTCTAAAGAACACTCTGGTTTTACTTCTTCCAAGTCAGATATGTTAGTTCTTTTTTTAACCGCAGTACTTCCACTATTCTTTGAGAGCACTATAATTCAAATGCATCAATTCCTCTGCATTCCTTATTTAATAGCCAACTTTCACATGCATATGCGGTGATTGAAAATACCATGGCTTGGGTCAGACACACCTTAATCCTCAGCGTAACATCCTTGTTTTTCAACACTTAAAGAGGTCTTGGGCAGCAGGATTGTCCAGTGCACTGTGTCATTTGATCTTTTGACTACTGCTTCCTCTAGCCTTGATTGTGGATCCAAGCAAGATGAAATCCTTGACAACTTCAGTCGTTTCTGTTGATCACGATGGTATTACCTATTGGTCTAGTTAGGACAGTTTTGGTTTCCTTTACATTGAGTTGTAATCCATACTGGAAGCAGCAATCCTTGATCTTCATCAAATGCTTCAAGCAAGGTTGTGTCATCTGCATACTTTCCTCTAACCCTGATGCCAAGTTCTTGATATAATCTTCCTTGGATATTTGCTCAGCATCTACATTGAGGAAGTATGGTGAGAGGATTAACACCATTCCTGATTTTAAACCATATAATTATTCTGTTATTTAAACCATACAAATATCCTCATTTCTGTTCATACAACTGCCTCTTGCTTCATGTACAAGTTCCACATGAACAGTGAATTGTTCTGGAATTTCCATTCTTCTTAAGGATAATCTATAGTTAGGAGCCACACAATCGAATCTTTGCGTAGTCAGTAAAATACATGTAAACAGTTTTCTGGTTTTCATGGCTTTTAGGTGAGATCTCGTTGGTATCCGCAATGATATACATTGTTCCATGCCATCTTCTGAATCTGGCCTGAAGTTCTGGCAACTCTGTCAGTGATCTTTATCCAAATTT